TTATGAGTCGCAAACAACTCGAGGGCACATAACAACAACTACAACAATAAGCTAGCACTTATAACTCCAACAACAACAAAATTAACTAAGTAATTAAGGTAATAGTCATATTTGCTGCCGTTGTTTGGTGCCATCATGCTGAGTACAACTCATAGTGACCCTATGGCCAGCCACCATGAGCCCTGCCCTAACCTGTGCCATCTTAACCATCTCCCAAACACTGACGTCCATTGCTAAGTCACCGTCATCAATCCATCTTACTGAGGGTCTTCCTCTACTTCACTGATCCCTCATCTTTCAAAGCATGTTATGTTATGTCTCTCTGATGAACAGCCTCACCTAAATATATGTCCAAAACATGAAAGACGAAGTTTCACCATCTTAAAAGTCCTATAGATTATACTACTTGTATCTAAAACTTGCAAATCATAACTAGGCCCAAGGGTAACGCTGTCTACTTTACAGGTAAGTAATAGTTTAAGACAAGTAACCACTCTACTACTTCTATACTTCCTATAGTATACAAATATGACAACTCCGGATAGCACAGTAGCTAAAAAACTTGGCTTCTAGCTAAAAGGTTGGTAGCTGAAATGTAACTGCTGCTCAGAAGGAGGCTGTGTGCTTCTGTAAAGATTTACACCTTTGGAAATGCTGTGGGTAGTTCTATATTACCCTATTGGTTGTTATGGATTGGAATCAATTCATGGCAGGAGGTTTGGCTTAGATGTATTTAACTCTGGCCTTCTCCAGCCACTGTCATGTTTATCTCGACGAGACTACAGTCTGATAATGACAGATACCCACATTCTTTGCCACTGGCACCTAAATCTTGCTGGTCTCTTCATTTCTGTTAGGCTAGGGAAAAAAGCAGGCTTCTAATGGAATGCATAAATATTGATATATTGGGTATTAGTGAAGTGAGATGGATTGGCATGGGACATTTTGAATCCCAAGATCATATGATCTATTACGGTGGAGATGCCAAGTTGAGAAAAATGGGGTTGCTTTCATGGTTAAAAAGGCCATTTCAATACCCATCCTGAAATACAATATTGTGAGTGACAGGATAATATCCATGCACATACAAGGAAGACCTATTAATACCACTATCATTCAAATTTATGTGCCTACAACCAGAACCAAAGAGGAGGAAATAGAAGATTTCTATCAACTGTTGTAGTTAGAAAGCGATCAAACATGTAATCAAGATGCTTTAATAATAATGGGTGACTGGAATGCAAAAGTTGGGAATCAGGAAGAAGGATAGGTTGTTGGAAAATACAGACTTGGGGACAGAAATGAGGCTGGGGACGGAATGACAGAATTCTGTATAATCAGTGATTTATTCATAGCAAATACCTATAATAAGAAACCTAAACATACTGTAGCCATGACGGCGTGGCCAGGAAGGTCTGAGCCCCACCCCAGCCCCCACGCCAAGATTCACTGACTGAAGCGAGTGTCGTGGACAAAAATGGATGATAAATGAAGTGTCAGTTCTCAAGCACAGTGCCTTATTTGCACAGCACAGTAGAGACTAGATTCAGTGACTCCACACATCACCACACTTGTATTTGGATATATAATGTCGTTGTTATGCTTGCAACTCATAGCGACCCTATCTGCTCTGTCCTGTGCCAATCTCACTGTCTCCAACACACCCATCCCGATTACCCGAGTCACCGAATCAATCCACCTCCTAGAGAGCCTTCCCCTCCTGCGCCTGCCCTCCACCCTCCCAAGCATGATGTCCCTCTCCAAGGACTGGTCCCTCCTTACAACATGACCAAAGTACATCAAACGAAGCCTCAGAATCTTTGCCTCCAAAAAGCAGCCCGGTTTAACCCTCTCAAGGATGAATCTGTTTGTTTTCTTAGCAGTCCATGGTACCCTCAAAATTCTTCTCCAACACCAAAGCTCAAAGGCATCAATTCTCCTTGCTTTCTAAATAAACACTGGTAATTTATACCCACCCACCCCCCAAAAAAAGAAACCTAAGCGCAGGCTTAGGATTTCACTTAATGGGATGCATCGTAACCAGACTGATTACATCTATGGAAGGAAGCATTGAAGAAGTTCAGTATCAGCAGTAAAAATTAGGCTAGGTGTTGACTGTGGAACAGATCATCAACTGCTCATATCCAAGTTCAAATTAAAACTAAAAAAGGTTAAATCATATCCATAGGAATCAAAATTTGACCCTGAGTCTATCTCCCATGAATTTAAAAGCCAACTCAGGTTTGAGGCCTTGAACACTAATGACCAAAGTCCAGATAAGTTGTGGGAAGATATGAAGCATATCGTTCATGAAGAATGCAAAAAGTCATTACTAAGAAGGAAGAAGAAAAGACCAAAATGGATGACAGAAGAGTCTCTGAATATTGTACTAGAGGGCTGAGAAGCCAAAGCAAAGGGAAGAAAGAAGTTAAGGAGCTGAATAGAAGATTTCAAAGGGCTGCTCGGGAAGACAAGGCAAAATATTAGAATGAAATGTGCAAGGAGCTAGAGCAAGAAAATCAAAAGGGCCTAATTCACTCAGCATTTCTTAAGCTGAGAGAACTAAAGAATAAACCAAGCCATGAGCTGCAATACTTAAGGACACTATGGGCAGAATACTGAATGATTCAAGAAGCATTAAAACCAGATGGAAGTAGTATACAGAGTCATTGCATCAAAAAGAATTGGCTGACAGAAGAATTTCAAGAAACAACATATGAGCAAGAGGCAATGGTGATGAAGGAGAAGTGCAGTCTGGTCTGAAGGACTTGGCAAAATATAAAGCCCCAAGAATTGATGGAATAAAAATTGACATATTTCAGCATACAGATGTTGCCCTGCATGTGCTCACCAAGTTGTGCCAAGAAATGTGAAGGACAACTACTTGGCCCACTGATCAGAAGAGATTCATATTTATTCCCGTTCAAAAAAAAGTGACCTGACAGGGTGTGGAAATTATCATACAATATCACTAATGTCAGATGCTGCCCTGGATGTACTCACTAAGTTGTGCCAGGAAATCTGGAGGACAGCCAGCTGGCCAACTGACTGGAAGAGATCAATATCTGTTCCCATTCCAAAGCAAGGTGACCCAATAGAGTGTGGAAATTATAGAACAGTATCATTGATATCACATGCAACCAAGATTCTGCTGAAAATTATCCAAAAACGTTTGGAACAATATGTCAACAGAGAACTGCCAGATGTAGAGGCTGGATTTAGAAGAGGTCGTAGTGCTACGGATATTACAGCTAATGTAAGATGGATCTTGGCAGAACACAGAGAATAAAAGAAGAATGTGTATCTGTGCTTCATTGACTATACAAAGGCTTTTGGTTGTGTGGATCACAACAAGCTAAGGCTGACTCTGAGAAGAATGGGAATCCCAGCGAAACCCATACTTGGACCAAGAGGCAGTAGTCAGAAAAGCGCAGGGAGACACTAGATGGTTCAAAATCAAAAAAGGGGTCCGTCAGGGATGTATTTTGTCTCCATACCTTTTCAATCTGTATGCAGAACAGATCATCTGAGACGCTGGGCTGTACGAGGAGGAATGTGGCATCAGGATTGGGGGAAGAATCGTCAACAACCTGCGTTATGCAGATGACACAACCCTGCTTGCTGAAACTGAGGAGGACCTGAAGCGCTTGCTGCAGAAGGTCAAGAACTGCAGCCTTCAATATAGATTGAAGCTCAATGTCAAGAAAACAAAGATTCTCACCACTGGGCCAATTGGCAGCATCAGTATGGATGGTTAAGAGACTGAGATCGTTAAGAGTTTTCGTTTACTTGGTTCCACAGTCAACACTCTCCGTAACAGCAGCCAGGAGATCAGGAGACAAATTGCAATGGGAGAGTCAGCTGTGAGGGACTTCACAAGGGTACTTAAGTGCAACGACGTCAGGCTGGAGACTAAGGTGCACCTGATCCAGGCTATAGTCTTTGCAATTATGTGCTATGCAACGGAGAGTTGGACAGTGAATAGGGATGATAGAAAGAGAATTGATGCCTTTGAGTTGTATGGATTCCTAGGAGAACAAACAGGTTTGTCCTGGAGAGGGTGAAGCCAGAATGTTCCCTGGAGTCAAGGATTCTGAAGATTCGTCTGACATACTTTGGGCATGTTGCAAGGAGGGACTGGTCCTTGGAGAGGGACATCAGGTTTGGGAGAGTGGAGGGACAGCACAGGAGAGGAAGACCCTTGATGAGATGGATCAATTCTGTGACTGGAGTGGTGGGAATGAGTGCATTTGAGACAGCGAGGTTGGCACAGGATAGAACAGCACTTAGGGCTCTTGTACACAGGGTCGCTATAAGTCGCAAGCGACTCGATGGCACATAACAATTACAACAATCACTAATGTAACACAGTAGCAAAATCCTGCTGAAGATTATCCATAAAAGACTTGAACAGTACACTGACAGAGAACTACCAGAAATACAGGCTGGGTTTAGAAGATGTGGTGGTATTAGAGATATTACTGCCAGTGTCAGATGGATCTTGGTAGAAAGCATAGAGTACCAGAAAAATGTCTATCTGTGTTTCATTGACTATGCAAAGACATTTGACTGTGTGGATCACAAGAAATTGTGGCTAACCTTGAAGAAAATGGGAATCTCAGAATACTTGATTGTGCTTGTATGAAACCTATACTTGGACCAGAAGCAATCCTCAGAACAGAGCAAGGAAACACTGCATGGTTCTAAATAAAGAAAGGAGTGCATCAGGGATGCCTCCGGTCTCCATACCTTTTCAATCTTTATGCAGAACAGATCATTTAGGAAACAGGGATTTATGAGGAGGAGGGTGCATCAAGACTAGAGGGACACTCATTAACAACCTACGATATGCAGATGACACAACCTTCCTTGCTGAAACTGAAGAAGGCCTGAAGCACTTGCTGCAAAAGGTCAAGGACTGTAGTCTTCAATGTAGAATGACGCTCAACATCAAGAAGACAAAGATTCTCACCACTGGACCAATTGGCATCACCATAACAGATGGAGAAGAGACAGCTTGTTAGCCAGTACAGCTTGCTCAGATCCACAATCAACACTCTTAATACAAACAGTCAGAAAATGAAAAGATGAATTGTGTTGGAAAAAATCTGCCATCATAGACGTCTCCAGAGTATTGAAGAACAACGATGTCAGTCTAGATACAAAGGTGTGCCTAATCCAGGACATGGTTTTCTCAATTACTTGTTATGCTTCAGAAAGTAGGACAATGACTAAGGATGACAGAAGAATAGATGCCTTCGAGTTGTGGTGCTGGTGAAGAGTCTTGAACATACCATGGACTGTCAAGAAAACAAATTGTTCTGTCCTGGAGAAGGTGAAACCAAGTCTCTCCTTGGAGGCTAGGACTTTGAAGTTTTACCTCACTTAATTTGGGCACATGGCCAGGAGAGATTGGTCCTTGGAGAAAGGACAACATGCTCAGAAGGGTGAACAGACAGAGCAGGAGAGGGAGACCCAGAGGGGATAGATTGACACAGTAACTGGGGTGATGGAGCGTGGTGTGTCAGAATTAGTGAGACTGGCTCAGGACAGGGAAGAGTTCAGAGCTGCTGTACTTAGAGTCATTATACATCACAGGTGACTCACACAATAACATTCTATGACAGGTTTGGAAGCAGGAGTGGCATCCACTTCCTAAACAACTTGCCTTAGGAAACTTTATGAACTTTGATAAATGTTAATAGTTGTAGAGAGGCTTCAGGCCTTAAGTTCATAGGCTCACTATGAGCCGTGCTCGACTTGAAGGCAATCAACAATGACAAAGTACAGCAAAAGGAACTATCAACAATTAAACAGCCCAAGTCCCTGAAAGGCTTCTACACAGAGATGATGGTTACGTATAAAGAAAATTTTGTTTCTATGACTGAAAGAATTTGTGTCTATATGAAATCATTTTTATGGTAGCCCTGTCCATAACGATAACTAAAAACCAACAACATTTAAATGTTATAAATGCTTCCATTATCTTTTTACTGTTTTGAGAAATATACACAGTTCTGTAAAACATAATTTAATACTTGTTGTTGTTATGTGCCGTCAAGTCACTTATGACTCATAGTGATCCTATGTACAACAGCCCTAAACCCTGCTCTATCCTGTGCCAATCACACTGCCCCTGACACACCCATCCCAATTACCTCAGTCACTGACTCAATCCATGTCATAGAGGGTCTTCCCCTCCTGCGCCTGTCCTCCACCCTCTCATGCATGATGTCCCTTCTCCAACGACCTGTCCCTCCTTACATGTCCAAAGTATGTCAGATGAAGCCCTAGAATCCTTGGCTCTAAGGAGCAGCCTGGTTTAACCCTCTCCAGGATAAATCTGCTTGTCTTCTTGGCAGTCCATGGTATATTCAATACTTTTCTCCTGCACCACAGCTCAAAGCCATCAATTCTCCTTCTATCCTCCCTAGTCACTGTCCAACTCTCTGATGTGTAACAAGTGATTGCAAAGACCATGGCCTGTATCAGATGCACCTTAGTCTCCAGAATGACACCATTGCTCTTCAGTACTTTGGAGAGGTCCCTAACAGCAGACTTTCCCATGGCAATACGCCTTTTAATTTCCTGGCTACTCGTGCCGAGAGTGTCGACTGTGGAGCCAAGCAAACTAAAACTGTGAACAATCTCAATCTCTTCACCATCCATCCTGATGTTGCCAATTGGTCCTATGGTGAGAATCTTTGTCTTCTTGACATTGAGCCTCAATCCATATTGGGGTCTGCAGTCCTTGACCCTCTGCAGCAAGCGCTTCAGATCCTCCTCAGTTTCAGCAAGCAGGGTTGTGTCATCTGCATAATGCAGATTGTTGATAGATCTTCCACCAGTCTTGACCCCACATTTCTCCTCATAGAGCCCAGCCTCCCGGAAAATCTGTTCTGCATACAGGTTGAAAAGATACAGAGATAGGACACATCCCTGGCGTATACCTTTCCCAATTTTGAACCATGCAGTGTTGCCCTGCTCTGTTCTGACGACTGCCTCTTGGTCCAAGTATAGGTTTTGCATTAGCACAATCAAGTGTTCTGGGATTCCCATTCTTCTCAGAGTCAGCCACAGTTTATGATCCACACAGTCAAACGCCTTTGCATAATCAATGAAACACAGACATTCTTCTGGTATTCTCTGCTTTCAGCCAAGATCCATCTAACATCAGCTACAATGTCCCTAGTACCACGACCCCTTCTAAACCCAGCCTGTACTTCTGGCAGTTCTCTGCTGATGTGTTGTTCCAGTCGTTTTTGGATAATCTTCAGTAGAATCTTGCTTGCATGTGAAATCAATGAGATTGTTCTATAGTTTCCACTCTCTGTTGGGTCACCCTTCTTTGGAATGGGAACAAATATACATCTCATCTCTTCCAATAATTTAATACTATATAATTTTTATTTGATAATATATGGTAAAATAAGAATGGTATATTTCTCAAGATAAAGTTACTCAAAGATTAAATGGTTCTTCACTGTAAATTTAAAAATAAGATCAAAATTAAATGACTCCTTGTTACTCTTAAAATAGGTATCCAAATGAAAGATTTCTTTATAAAGAGAACTACTTACCTCTAAAAATTGTTTTTATGATTGGCTTTTAGAACTTGTTGTGGTTGTTATATGACATCGAATCACCTGCGATTCATTGTTACTCTATGTACACCAGACCTAAACCCTGGTCTATACTGTACCAATCTTATTGTCTCTGACACATCAAGCCCCATTACCCCAGTCACTGAATCAATCCTTCTCATCGAGGGTCTTCCTCTCTTATGCTGTTCTTCCACCATCCAAAGTAGGAAGTCCTTCCCCAAGGACTGTCCCTCCTTGCAACATGTCCAAAGTATGTCAGATGAAGCTTTGGAATCCTTGCCTCAAAGGAGCAGTTTGGTATCACCCCCTCTAGGATGAACTAAACTTGCATATATTAGTGTATTCTTACAATGAATTTACAATTCAGAACACACTGCATCTTCTCATTTGGAACCTGACTGCATTTCTAGTTTATAACCCATACTACACAGAACAAAATTACATAGAAAGAAAGACTATAATAATTAAAAGTAGTTCTAACATAGATTAAGGTGATATCAAGTAATCTTTTTATACATTGTGGCCAATTGGTTAAAAACAACCAAAACCCATATCAATGTCATAGAGCTTCTTTACAGCTTTTTTTGGTGTTTGTTGACCTTGACATCCACAATGAACACAAATATGTTGTCATCTTGTATCGTCTTCATGACTGACTCGGTGGTCAGGGGAAACTTGATGATGGCATAGTGGTAAAGCTTGTCTCTGCTCCTGATTATGATGCTTTGGATGTTGCCAACGAAATTGGGATCATCTAAACTGAGTCCAGGTAGCTAATTCTAAATACAAATTTTTCTCATACACACACAAAAATAATCCAAAAAACAAACTACCAAAACCCAAACTCACTGCTGGCCAGTCAATTCTAATGTAGAGTGAACCTCCATCTGCTTTCCAGGCAATTAAAAAAAAAGTCTTTCTTGGAGGAAACTGCCCATCTTTCTCCAGCAAAATAGCTGATAGATTCCAACTGGTGACCTTTTTGGTTACCAGAACAACACGTGCAAGAAACTATGCTACACAATTTTTAATACAGATTTTAATCATTCTATGACTCTTCTAAATTAATAAAGAATCTAACAAAAAAAAGAGAAAGTTGGCCATACTTTATTCAATCTGAAATCTACAGAATATTAATTTTTTTTTTTATAATTCTGTTCTTCTACTTATAATGTAACCTCTGGACACTTTTTTATCTTTTCTGTTTTTCATCTTTATTTCACAGAAGGCTATAGCAATTAAACAAGACAACAGATGCAAATCAACTCTTTAATATCCTATACAAGTATGATCAAAAAAAATCAAAGAAACAAGAACTGATCTGTACTACTCAATAAAAAAAAAAGCATACAGTCTATCACAACAGCCAAGGCAAAATGCTCTGATATTTCTGATTTCCCAAATTGATTAAGTTAGTTTTTTGTTATTTTGTGAGATATAACCAACTTTGTTATGTATTATTTAAAAGGCATGCAGTTTGAATTCACCAGCTGGAGAAAGATGGGCAATCTCCTCCTTCCTTGTGAATTGCTGCCTCTGAAATTCATTGGAGGGTCAGCTATGAATCTTTAAAACTTGAAGGTATATAAAAACAACATTTAAAATTTACTTTGGATAGCGGTATTTCCTTACTTTAAAAAAAGCTCAACACATCACGAAAACTAATAAAAGAAAAGTAAACGTGGCTACTCGAATGAGGGGGGAAAGAAATATCAATATTCAAAGTTATGGAACTTGTTTTGTTGGGGTTTTAATCGAGATTTTAATGAAAGTTTATAGAGAACTTGGATTTCCACTCATTCATTGTAGCACGTTTTCCTTCATGCCCATCTCTCCCCCCTGGTTCACTTTTCTCTTTGAAAAGAAAAAAAAGTTCTTTGATAGTTATACAATCCCCTTCCCCCCACCGTGTCCACTTTACTATGCAGTTCTTATTCTGGACTACTGTCATGCAAATACCTAATAATATATTCCTTTTAAACAGTTCGCTCCCTCATCTGTTTCAATACAGTGTACATTATTTAAAGTTATGGAACTTGATACAGACCACTGAAGGAAAAAAGAAGAACAATATGGATGAGCTCTATGAATCATGTCAAAAATGTTAGTAACCCAAACAATATTGTACATACATTATTTTAAAGGGACAAGTCAACATATAAGCTTTCTCAGAAATTTATTTTCCAGTTCTTATTAAAAACAGAGGCAAACATGTATACATCTATATGTACACATATCCAAATATGATTTTCATTTTTAAATAT